ATAACTCACCCCCACTTTCGAAGCTTGAAGAGCTGAAAAAGTGGGAATTCGCAGCCGAATTCCATGGAAATCAGCTGATTCGCCGTCACCGAGCCGCAGCCGCTGTCGTCACAGTGCAGCGCGGCTCAGCCGCCCCGACAGCCATTTATTACTCAAATGGCTTCCATTCAGATTCATTCAGAGCCAGTACAATTCAAAATTGTTCAAAATAACTCACCTTCCACTTTCGAAGCTTGAAGAGCTGAAAAAGTGGGAATTCGCAGCCGAATTCCATGGAAATCAGCTGATTCGCCGTCACCGAGCCGCAGCCGCTGTCGCGTCACAGTGCAGCGCGGCTCAGCCGCCCCGACAGTCCGCAATGATGAGGACTGTACCTTTCAAGGCAGTCGTAGCCTTGTTCGAATATCCCAGAGCAATTCCATGTGGCCTATACAATGACTTGCGGGGCCAGCCGATGTACAAGTCAGTGTTTTATCCTCCCAGACGAATCTGGTACCAATTCACCGTTCCCGGAAGCAGAACGCTTTGTGTGCCTGAGCGGGAGCCGATCCAGGATTTGATCCCACGACCGTGGGCGCGGTAAGCGCACCACTGGCCACTACACTGCATCACCTAGCAACAGAAAACTATTGAGAAATTTGGTGGTAGTTGCTGAGCCGAGTCCTAAATTCAAACTCGTAGATTTCATTTCTCACATGACTTAACAGCTCTCGTTTCAGCTGGAAAAATTCATCTAACAGCTGAGGCTCAGAAACTCCTTATGGTGGTTGGAGGTTTTGACGTTGAATCCAGAGGAGAAGTCATAATAAAGGTAGGTTAGCGTGTAGAGCGGTGTTTCTATTATGTATGCATCACCTTGTTCTCAGGCTTCTCTGAATCTTTGTATTGCTGAAACTAGTTCCCTCTGGTGAGGTGGCAGAACTTTCAGTGAAGAAAGCAAGAGAACAAGTATTCGATGAGATGAGGTCTGCTTGGGGACTAGAGCCACAAGGGTGAGGAGCCACAAGGGTGCTTCCGAGTCGCCACATCGCGCTTTAGCAGTGCCCTAGATGGCTTACACGCTCAGAGAGCTACTCGATCTGAGACATGCAGACGAAAGAGGAGTCGGGAGAGTTTATGCGTTGCAGCACTGCCACATTAGGGAGAGTCCTGGTGCAAACGCTGGGCACTCCTTACCGTTTACATGCCTGATCGCCGCGTTTCGGAAGTAAACTTCATACCCGAGCCACACAGCCGCGCCCATAGAGAAAAACTAGGGCGCGTTCTGTCAGTGAGTTACCTTCTGCAAAACACGCTCTCCTACCGTTTCTCTCGACTTCGCCTACTTCCTACCACACTACTGGAAGAAATTTCTTAGTTCTCTCGGAAGCGAATACGACTGTAGTCCCTTCAGCGACCAGAAACGCCCCCCCCCTACCCTGGATGGGGGATCCCGACGTAGGGCGAGCTTCATGGGAAGGAGGACTGCAATCGTAACGCCGTTAGTTAGTTTAGAGGCATCTTTTTTGAAGTAGGTGATACTACTGACCATCGCGTACCCCTAGAGCTCTTGCCAGGCACTTTTCAACTCAGCGGCTGACCTGTGTCCATATTATATGAGAAGGATTCCAGCTATGAAAGCATTAATTGCATTCGTAAAATGTGTTTGAAGAGTGTCTACGGTGACCGTCAAGTGGGTGAACCAACGTGACGCGGTGAATCCATGGAGGCTTAGAAACATCAAACAACAGGGTTGCTCTGCATAATGCTGACCTAGAACCATCTGTGATTAGTATCTGAGAGGTCGAGCTCACCAGCAAATCAATTCGATGTTTCAGGGCAAAGGAGTGATGGAGACCTATTGGCTGATTGGTCGCGGTAGCGGTGATCTTCGTCGAGCAACAATTTCACCAATGAAGAATTACGAGGAAGCAGGACAACAAAATGTTAATGCACTAAGTAATGATAATAATGAGTCAAAGCCCATAGGGATATATCAAGAGTTCAAGAACAACGGCGCGCAAATCCAGTGAAAAACCCAACCCATCCGAAAGATACTGATTTGTGCCGCAAGCGTTGGTAGTCATATGTGCCATTTACAAAGATGAAGTTTCACAATGTATAGTCGGTAGTCCAATGATTTCGATGTCAAACGTTCGCATATATTTTTTGAATGCACATTAATTAAATTTTGAAAACCGATATATATTTGGTAGTGTTCGCTAATGAACTATTTTTAGACAGCTGACTTATGAGTACAAGTGTGCAAGAAAGGATCAAATAGTGAAGAATCTGCTCTTACGATGATCCGGCTTTTATAATTTGTGTACAAGTGATCAGAATGAATATTCTGTCGAAGGCATAAGTCACTATAGTTTGGTGCTTGCTCAAAAATCGTAGCTTCAGTGCTACATAATGGAAAGTAACAACGAGTGAATTTGAACGACCGAATGCTGAGAAAATGCTCTTGCTTTGCACGGCAGCACTTTTGGACGAGTTTTCCGTTAGCACCGTGCCTACAGTTGCTTTGATA